TTTATGATTCCCCTCTCCTTGGCCCCCTGAAGTTTCAACCATTTTTGTACACAAAAGAGTGAAAGTAGATGGCTGAAATTTTTAACCTTGGGGTTAGGGAATTCAGTAAAATGCCTGCTGCCTAAGCATGGAGACCTAGGTTCTGGTCACCAGCACCCTTGGAGAAGGTGGGTAGAGTGGCCTCCCCCTGCCCACTGGGGAGGCAGAGACAGCAGATGCATAAAGCTCTCAGCAGAACAGACTAGCTAAATTGCTGAACTCTCAGACTCAGCGAGAGACTTTGTCTCAAAACAATCAAGTGGAGAGAGGTTGAAGATGACACAGCAAGCTCTGGCCTCCATGTGCAAATGCTCACATGAACACATATACACACCATACATACATACATACATACATACATACATACATATATACACACACACACACATACACACATTCACACACCCCATACAAACACACACACACAGACACAGGCACATATATACCACACACACACACACACACACACACACACACACACACACACACACACACACACACACACACACACACACACACACACACATACACACAGACACACACACATACACACTTAGTTTATTATTCAGAGGCTCTCAGGATGCCTTGGTGACTTTGGACATGTGTCCAAACCCACATACCGGTGTTTAAATCCTGAAGGGTGTGAGTGAGGACATTAACTGCCCAGAGCTTGTTCTGTATCTTTCCTTTTCCAGGTCGGCCCTGAGCTCATGATCCTCCTCCTTGAGCCTTTGGCATGCTGGGATTATAGGCTTGTGCCACCACTCCTAGATTTCTAGAAGTGCAGCTTATCTCACCTTAAAGCCTTTCATTTCCCTGTGCACATTTACTAGAGGGAAAGTTCTTAAACCTCATCAACATCCAAAGACCAGTATCTTCTGCTTGGAACAGTACTTAATCCAAAAAGTACCCAATATGGAGAGTTGTGGAATTAATATAGTAAGCACCCAATAAATGTTGACTGGATGAATATGACAAAAAAAAACTCTGCTTCAATAGGTTTCCTCTCTGACTGTGTGAACGATGACCTGGACAGAGAAGTCTGGCCTACTTGGTTAGAGACTCTTGCCTAAGAGAATATACTTCTAGTTGTCTTAACATGTAGCCTTGTTGACGTCATTTAACAGCTTCCACGTTGAGCTTTTCACCTAAAACCCAGAGATAAAAATATACTGGAGAGCTAGGTGGTGGTGGCATACACCTTTAATCCTAGCATTTGGGAGGCCAGAGATAGGCAGATCTATGAGTTCAAAGCCAGCCTGGTTTACAGAGTGAGAAACCGTGTCTTGAAAAACAAACAGACAAACAAAAAGTATGCAGGGCAATGTAGAGTTGTTAGGAATATTACATGGGGCCTGGGTGGATGATCTCCAGACTTGCCACCAAGTCTGGAGACCTGAGTCCCATCCTCAGAACCCACATAGTAAAAGGAGAACATTGACTCCTGAAAGTTGTCCTCTAACCTCTACTCATCACTGTGACAGATGTGTACACATGCACACACCACAAATAAATACATTAGAAAAAGTAAATAAACTGGGCAATGATGGCACATGCTTTTAATCCCAGCACTCTGGAGATAGAGGCAGGGAGATCACTGAGGCCAGCATGGTCTACAGAGTGAGCTCCAGGACAGCATAGCCAGGGCTACACAATACAGAGAAATCCTGTCTCAGAAAAAAGGAAAGAAAGGAAGAAAGAAAGAGGAGAGAAGAAAGAAAGAAGCATAAATGTGCACACACAAAAAGTAAACATAGTATTTCAGCCCATTAATGGATATTAGAGGAAGAACAATAGTTTGTTCACTGACTCTAGGGATCTGATTTCAGACATTGAATGAACCTCCTGGGTCTTATTTTCACATGCATAAAATGATGACCCCTGAGAAAACTGTAGCTCTAAACTTATCTTCCACAGTGACTCAAATTTTGTCTCTAATTGTTACAAAATTTTCATCAAACACTTGGAAGGAAAAATACATCTCTTATGTCAGGATTCTTCCCATTGGACTTAGGAAAGGTGAGTAAAACTAGCAATGAGAGATTTGGTACAAAGCCAGGAGGAAGTTTCACTGAACCTAAGGGCAGAAGTCCAGATGCCAACTGGAGCCAGGAAGTGGAAGGCAAGGTGGAAACTAGGAAGCTCTTCATCTCTTTCAATTCTCCCTTCTTTCTCCCTAAACCAGCTCCTGCTTCCTACTTGCACACACTGGAAAACACAGCCAGCAACAGAATCCAAGTGTACAAACACCTGAAGAAACACCGACTCTCTCTTTTGACTTCATTCCAGAGTCTTAGGAAGCGCTACTTCAGCTGGCCCAACTTGGACCAGAAGCTTCCCCTTGGTTTACATTGTATGACCATGCCTGCCCCCCTAGATGGTTCTGAAAAGGCAGAACCACTGTTTAGGGACACAGCCCAATATGTAGCTGCCTCAGCTATCTCCTGCATTTTCCAGGGAGGTAAGGCTCATTATAAACATGTGCTAGTCCTTACTCTCAAGGTAGTCCACAGTGAAGCTTAAATAACTGAATAACCTTTCCCCAGATGTCACAGGCAGCTTTCAAGTTTGTAAAGGTTGTAGTGTTTTTGCTTGGTTGTGTTTAATCCTTTCAGTCTTTAGTTTCAAGGCTCTTCTGAACCACAAAAGTATCCGGAATGAGTCATAAAACTACCTAGAGCAAAAAGGAAAACATTTCCAGTGATCTTAAGTTAACATTTTGAATAAGCCTCCTTTCCTTCAGTTGGAACAATAATGAGGGAGTGGGGCAAGGCAGCAGCATGGTCCTCCATCCTGGCCTCTACACCTCAGAAAATGCAAGGAAACTCCCCTGCCTTTGTTTTTGACCAGAAGAAAAGGTTGTGTGGGCAGCTGAGTTGGGGAACATAGAGGCAATCTTGGTTTTATTTTATTGCAAACTTTGCTCAGGAGTGTTCAAAGAAGGGAAGAGACTTGGTTTCTTTGGTGAGTAGGGACAGACAACAGAAAGAATCAGAAATTTAGCCTGCAAACTAAAGTGCCTGCCTTGGAGAAGAAGGGGGAAATATGAAGTTCTGGAGGAGAACGGACAGGTCCGTCTTCTCATCAGCTCTGGGAAGGGACGGTAAAAAGAAAAAAAAAGTCTCCCTTCTCCTCTTGAGCCTCCCCCAAACCTTCTACATGGAGCCATTTGCAGAGTGATCTTTAGCCACTGGGCCTACCTCTTTCTCGGAGTGCAGAGCAAAGAATACGGTCTGCCCTCATCAACTCAGTGTGATTTATAAACACCCAAATTTGGCAAAGACCCAGACTGGATGTAATCTCCAAAGAGAACCTTGTCTCTGAATTTCTAAGAGTAGGAAAATCAGAGGCCAGTCACAGCTAGAGTCGACACATTATAATACACGGCAGCTCTTCATGGCCAGCTCCAC